TTTATTTTAAATGTAGGTTTGAATTATAGCTTACTGTTCTTAATACCTTTATTTTGAAAATCAGCAATTACCATAATGCTGAGAATATAACACTTACACTGCTCACTAGAAAGTATCTTGTGCCCACAAGAAACCTTTAATTTTTTTAAAGGTTTTTTTTAATTTTTTTTCCCATGTCCCTTCAGGGGCTCCGTAGTAATAGACCTTAAAACTAGAACTATTTAAGACTTTTAAAATAGTATTTTGGTCACTTTATTGAGCTGAATTTAAGAATTTGTACTTTATTCTAAGATAAAAAATTTGCAACCTTTGACCTTTCTTTTAAATGGAGGAACCATAAGCATTACTATTTTTAAAGCATCTTAATCTTAAATCATCTTAAAGCAGCTTAATTAACAACACTGGGACAAGACTACTTTCATTTAAAAAACAAAAAGATACTTTAACTTACTGTTAAAATAGGGAAATAGTCTTGTTCCTCAGCTGGGATATTATGCAAACCATTGTTGGAACTTGTTACTGGTTACATCTAGCTCAATGTTAGCTGTAATATCTTTTTAAGACAAAACTAGATATATTTTCTTAAAACAAGATTACTTTTCTAATTAATAACATGCTTGACAAAATTATTTTTCTTTTTAGACAAAAAATAAGACAAATTTTGCATCCTCTAACAACAACTGAAACCGCTTTCCAAATTATATTTTTATCCAAATTATAACTCACAACAATACATGAATGACTTTGAGTAGAGACTGCTGTTATCCTCATTTGCATGGTTCCTTACATCTCGCCCCTCTGTATGATGACTTTTGTAAATCTGTAGTATGGAGCTTTACCTACCTCCTCCCATCTTTCTGTCTTAAAGGAGTCTTATGTATGGAAGATGTACCAGGAGCGTTGCTGGGAGTTTTTTCCTGCTGGTGACTGTTTCCGGAAACAGTACGAGGATCAGCTCAACTGATCTTTCCTCAAGCAACAGACTCTTCCCTTTCATACTGTAACCTGTTCAAGGCCCTCTACAGCCACCTTTCTCTCTGCTTATCCATCAAACCTTTCTTACTGCTCTCTAAGGAGTGCCAGTTCTACCAAACGATGGGTTCAACACTCAGCTTCATTTCCCAGTCCAAGAGGAACTACATCCTTTACAGGCCCCACCCTATGCCTTCCTCCCAGCTCTTCCTCACCCAGACATTCAACTCAGCCCCAACTTCCAGCACACTTTGTTTGGAATGCTTCTGAGATTTTGTACATAGAAAATATCAGATTATATGCTATAAAATATGTGACTGGTGGCACATCAAGGTGTTTGGCTCAGATGATGACTTCTTTGCTCCATCTATTCTATTCACAGTAAAAAGCAAAAAATACAAAGTAATAATGGAGCAAGGGAAAAAGGAAGGAGTGTCAGAGGAGAGTGGAAGAAAAGAGAGAATTCCTACTGAAGGACTTTCAGGACAATGATCAATACACAAAGAGCAGGCATTCATATGATGACATTTACGACTTTTCATGTGTACAATGCACGTTGCATGTAGGTATAGGGGGTGGACACACAAAAGAAACACCTCTACAACCCTGTTGTAATCTAACACAACAGCTCTGCAATGAATGTGACCCTTGAGAAGCTTACATGGTCAGCTTTTGATAAAACCCTCAAAGAGGTTATAATTTGGTTAAACTCTAGGGGAACCTTTTAGTTTGTGGCAACTTTTTAGTTTGTGGTCCATGTCAAGTGGGAAGATACAAGGCGCCTCAACATAATCGAATCCATTTCCAGACACACCGCCAAACTACAGTCTCTACTATTACCACAGAGCTGAATCAACACCTCTATATGACTTTCAGCAAAAACTGAACATCCTGATCTTCAGATAGTTTACAGATGTTAAAATTGTGTCCACGCCCTGTACATGCCAACACGGTGTGTGAAGGGCTCCTTAACTAAGTGTTCACATTGCTAGTATCATGATCAAGAGTCCATTTTGTTCCAGTGGAGCTGAGTGATCTGGAAACTCAGCCAAAGTATGTAAAATGTAAAATGAACAAGTCAAAATCCTCCATCAGCTTGTGAGTTATCTACATCTTTCATCTTTTATTTATTACTTTTATTATTATTATTTATTTATTTATTTTATTTACTGTAGAAATTAATATGGGTCCCTAGATTATGCTTGCAAAACAGTTAGATCTATTATTGACATCTTTTTATAACTGATTTTTCCCCCTTTTTATTTGATCTTTTGCCCCAGTAGCAGCATGGCCTTAGGATATCTTTTTGTCTTGCCAACACTCCAAACTGAACTAACGTCACCATGCACACAAACATAAAATTTTTAGCCCAACTACCGGTCAAGGCTCTAACAATAGCTTAATAGTCAGCGTGTTTTTGTTTGTAGTGTGTAAGGAACATCACAGTCTCCAGTTGTCACTAGTTGGGTTTTTAGGTCTTTTTTCAATTAGTGCTACTTAATGATGGCTTTTTGATCAAATAATTAAATTATATGAAAAGCAATACCAATTCACCAAAAAGGTGCAAGCTGCTTAGCTAAATGAATATTCAGCCACTCAGATTGGAGCATCCTTTCAGTCATGTTTCCTGCAGTGAGAATGCACAGCAAGGCCAGGCTAAAGACAGATGACCAATGTATGGATGAAAGCAGAGGGAGGAGAAACAGGAAGATACAGTGCCTTACTTAGCCAAGGGTGAGCTATGCAAGCAGGAGGCATAGAGAGTAATATCACAGAGCTTATCATAAATATAATGTAAAGACTGAGGATAACCCCTTAGAGCTGGGTGATGGGGTGTTAATGAAAGACAGAAACATGCCGTGTGGCTTTACTTTACTTTACAGGAAAGTAGAAATAGAGAAAGAGATGGAATAAGAGTGCATGTTACAATTAAAAAAAAAAAAAAATTAGAATTCAATTTGATTTAATGAATTCTAATACAGTACTGTCAGATGCACATTTAATTGTCTTGTAAAGTTCTGGGAAATCAAAATTAATTAATTAGCTGGAAGTGGCAGCAGCAAATAAGGTCACACTTGATCTTGACTGAGAATTGATGCACAACAGCAGATGTCAGTGGAGTGTGTCACTAGTGTTAGCGTTAATAAGAGAGGAACCTCCACTCTCCTTATACATTGTGCTATTCATTAAGTGCAGATGGCTTCCTCTTTTTGAAAAAAACATTCAGGTCTTTGGGGTGGCTCTCTATATACACTCAATTGCACTCATTCTTTTCCTTTATTAGGTCCACCTGAGTAAAACTAATGCAGTCTAAAACAACAGTCTTGTAAGAAAGACTCCCTTAATGGTTTTAGGGGTCAACCACACATACACTTGTTTGCTACTTTGGCGACCTCACCAGCCAATGTTTACCAATGCTGAACTCCACGCGAAGCTGAAATGCGACCCTGCTTTGCCACAAGAAGGTTTTATTTTCCCATTTGCATGCATAGAATGGAAGTGAACAGAAGTTGAATATTCGCTTGTTATGATTTCACAAATGTGTGACTGTGCCCTTATACTGAGATTTTTCTAATATTTAATCAACCTGCATTGATATATATGGGGTGGACAAAATAATAGAAACACATTTATTATTAATGTTGTAACAAACAATAGCCTAGATTTACTACGGGGTTGTTTGATTAGACTGCATTAGTTTTAGCTAGGTGGACCCAATAACCTGGCAGCTGTAACTATGTTGCAATACTTTATTAGTCTACTGCAGAACAAGCTACGTGTGCATGATGTTTTGATGTTTGCTCGAATAGTCTCAGTGTGTCATGACACATGACACTTATGCTTCCATACTACCAACGTTATAGATGGATTCATCTTAAATTAATCTTAGCTTTGTTTTAGCGAACACTCTTCTACACATGCTGTATAAATTCTGTCTCGTGCAATATTGGAGTCAACATGGAGACAGAAATCCATCATCTATGTCAATATGTTGGTTATTATGCTAATTTTTTGTATTTTGTATTTTGATGGTTCCACCTCCTACTGCAAAGTTAAAATGTGGGAAGAAAAGTACAAACCTTCCATAAAACACATTTAATGATGTAAGGTTGGACCTTGTAGGTTTTGGATCAGAATCCACAGACAAGGGACGAATGAATGATAATATATGAAACAAAATAGTCTGTTTAAAGCATAATTATTATTGTAGTATATTTATCTATATATATGTAGGAAATGTGTGCGGATTGAACTATTGCTCAGAGCTCATAAATGTTCAACAAACATGTCCTGGAAACATTTTAAAATAAGGCTTGTTTATCCAAGGCCTTTTGGAGAATTTTTTAGTGATGATCTTATACATTACAACAGAGTTATTCTTTTTGTAGAACATTCTCCAAAAACTCTACTCAGAGAAAAAATACCATTGCATGTTTATTATGCAGGCTTAACGAACAAGTATAACAAAGACACTAAATCTATGTCACCCATAAATGGTTCAATAGGGTTATTTAAGATGAATTAAGATTTATGTAATATTGTATCTAAGTGTTTTAGGCTTCATTGTAACTCAAGTCTTTTGCCACAACTGCATCCCTTTGAAAAAAAGAAGGTGGCTCCTGCTTTTCTCTTACGCAGTTAAAGGTTTGTATAAGTATTGTTTGGTTTTAAGCTCAAGCAATAGCCCTTCAGGGAGTGTAAGTGAAGTAACTGACCATTGTAAATTGCAAACACAGGCAAAACAAATAAAAGCTTGCCCAACTTTGTGTCAGATTAAAATACAATTATTTATTAATTTATTATCTATCAATTTATTTTATTTACTTCAATAATGCTAAGGAAATAAAACCACCAATGGTATACATGCACGTTTGGCTGAACATTGTCAGTCACTCTTTAAGTGACTTTCAGCTATTAGCTTCCTAAACTGGTAGAAGTGGTCCTATTTTGTTAATGTTCTGACAATGTAACACTTTCCAGTGCTCAACATACACTCTCCATTTGGTTTGGTTTCTCTAAAACCTAAGTGACCATCAGTAAAGCATGTAAAAAGGTGAATTGAGCGTCTGTATTCATGAATTAGGATGATATTTCTTAGATCAGGAAGCTATGAATAGCTAAAGTGTTAAATATTAATAAATATACATAAAACTAAAAACAAGTAAATAATACATTATAAAATATTGATATAAATAATACAGATAAAACATATGATATAACCATTAAACTGTCAAATCATATATTTTTAAATCTGACCTTATTATCATGAAGTGTTATTTAATTCAGCCAGTTTTGTAATTGGCAGACAAGAAGTTTTTGAATATTGCTATTGTTAGAGTTTTGTTCATGCTGCCACTAGAAAGCTGCAAAAGTCTTTACTGTCTGCACCTTTAATGTTGAGTGAAGATGCATGAGCAGTTTACATTTAGCACTGACCGTACAAGTATGACAACACAAGAGGATGTTACAGCTACAACCAGTGTGGGTGTTTTGTATATTGCAGGGCGCTCATTATACCAGGCTGATGTCATACCTATTTTTGTTTTGTTGGTTTTTTGCAATACCACAGCAGACTGAATAATGTCATTACTAAGTGGTGTTTTGCTCATGCAAAAATAACTAAATATTTTCCATATATACCACAAAGGGGCATGTTTAGTTTGCCACACAGTAGTGCATCATCATCAAACTTTTTGAGTAGGCTATTCCTACTTCTAAGAGATAAATGTGTAAAGATGGACTGAGTCTATGAGTAATGGATGGATTTGCATGATTTTAAAAATAAAACCTTATTTATTAATATTTTTAATTCTTAATTATTTCCTGTTAAGTGGTTTACTGGTTATGGACACATTTACATACACATATAAGTCTTGGCAAATAAAAGCTTTATTAATTGGGGATTTATTGCAGGGCTTTTGTCCAAGGCTCATTATTTATTTATTTTTTTTTAAATTTGGGGA